TTTCAGTGACCGCTTCAGTTCAGCAGAAACTGAAGGGACACCTGGAGTAGACTGTACCAACTCAATCCACCCCTAGTCAAGATGAAGTTTTGCTAACATTGTTCTCAAGAACAGCTCCCTATCCAAACCAGTTAGGGAAATCATGCTAGAACCATGTTATTAGCAACAGTAAGTTCCAGCATGATTTCAAACACAGTGAGGTCAGAGCCCAAATCTGTAAGTGCTGCAATGTCTGCAAACCTCCCAGAAACAGGGATCCTCACACCGGGCCTGATCCTGAGAGGTGTCAAGCACCTATAACTACTACTGAAGTCACCTGGAATAGCAGATGCTCAGGATCAGACCATACACTTCTGTAGCTGAATTGCACATGATCCTCAAACCACATATAACCACTGGGGTAACATAAGGAATCATCACCTGGCTAGGTTAGACAAAACACATGAAGAAAATACAAGAGAGGATAACCCAGCATTTTCAGGGAGATGGGTGGATCGGGCGTGAAGGTTTTCAAGAACACAGATGAGAGCTAGGTACTCAATTCTTATTGGACTTTTAAGGGGAGTTGGACACCCAGCTGCCTTTTGTACCTTTGAAAATTACCTTCCAGCTCTTTTTCAAAAAACCAAACAAACCAACCTAGCCACCATCAGTAAACTTTAAATGCGCTTCTCCGTTGCCCATGAAAACAAATAAAAAACTCTGTCTATCCTCAAGAAGAGATGGGGAAAACTGTCGTAGCACTTAAATAATTTGGCATCACTGGAGAGAGACACCATATCTCTGTTTATCCAGTCATTTTCAGTTTGAAAAATCTTTCACCTAAGACATTCCCTAAATGCAATGAATTAATCGAGAACTAATTATGACTAAATCTGCCTAACTAATGATTTACAAACACATCTGGCTCAGAAAACCAAAGGCCCAATCATGCAAACCCTTACTCACATAAGAAGTCCTTATGCAAGTAATTCTGTTGGTATCAATGGGATTATTATTTCATGTAAGGATGAATAAAGGTTTGCAGGATAAGGCCCCAGATAATTCTACTCCAAACACTGGTATATTAAGTGTAATTTGTTTACTGATTATATAATATAAGAATCTTAAAGGGACATGTTAACTGAATGCACTTCTGTCTGAACATTTGTCTACTATATTTACAAGAAATACCTAAGATTACTATATTTGAAAGAGAGTAGAGAAAAAGCCCGATGCCAACTCTGTCCACATATCTATTCAAGTGACATCATCATAGGACCTAATCACATCAGCCATACCATCAGGGGCTCGTTCACCTGCACATCTACCAATGTGATATATGCCATCATGTGCCAGCAATGCCCCTCTGCCATGTCCATTGGCCAAACCGGACAGTCTCTACGCAAAAGAATTAATGGACAAATCTGACATCAGGAATCATAATACTCAAAAACCAGTGGGAGAACACTTTAACCTGTCTGGCCATTCAATGACAGACCTGCGGGTGGCTATCTTACAACAGAAAAACTTCAAAAACAGACTCCAAGGAGAGACTGCTGAGCTGGAATTGATATGCAAACTAGATACAATCAACTCAGGATTGAATAAAGACTGGGAATGGCTGAGCCATTACAAACATTGAATCTATCTCCCCTTGTAAGTA